CCGAGGACTACACTTGCGGCTCTTGGTTTTGCTCCTTCTACTGCTGACCCGTCGCTGTTTCTGCGCACCGACACCTCGCTGCCGCCGTTCTACATCCTCGTGTACGTCGACGACTTGGTCTTTGCCACTGCGGACACTGCCGCACTCGCCCACGTGAAGTCCGAGCTGCAGAAGAGACACACGTGCACAGACCTGGGTGAACTGACAAGCTATCTTGGCTTGCGGATCACCCGGGACAGAGCATGCCGCACCATTACCCTGACTCAGTCACACATGGTGCAGCAGGTCCTTCAGCGCTTCGGCTTCACGTACTCCTCGCCTCAGTCCACTCCTCTGCCTACGGGTCACTCGCTCTCAGCTCTGCCTTCGGATGAGTCCGTAGAGTCGAGTGGTCCGTATCCAGAGCTTGTGGGCTGCCTCATGTACCTGATGACTTGCACTCGACCTGACCTAGCATACCCTCTCAGCATCTTAGCACGCTATGTTGCTCCCGGCCGTCACCGGAAGGAGCACATGGATGCAGCTAAGAGGGTGTTGCGCTACTTGTGCAGTACATCGGGCATGGGGCTAGTGCTTGGAGGGCGAGACCGGCCTGTTCTCACTGGGCACTCAGACGCTTCTTGGGCAGACGACCAGGCTACTCAGCGGTCGTCTCAGGGTTACACCTTCAGTCTTGTCTCTGGCTCTGTCTCTTGGCGTTCTACTCGTTCTTCTTCTGTTCTCAGCTCCAGCTGTGAGGCTGAGATCTACGCCACGGCCATGGCTGCCCAGGAGCTTCGCTGGCTCACCTACCTGCTGACTGACCTTGGAGAGCAGCCTCGTTCTCCTCCAGTGCTGTACGTCGACAACAAGGCAACCATTGCCTTGTGCCAGGAGCACAGACTGGAGCACAGGACGAAGCACATTGCTCTGCGTTACTTTCTAGCTCGAGAGCTACAGCAGCGTGGTCAGCTTCTTCTGCGTTACGTGGCCACTGAGGCCAACACTGCTGATGTGTTCACCAAGGCGCTTCCGCCTGTTGACCATCAGCGTTTTTGCACTCTTCTAGGCCTTGTGCCGACTGTTTCTCACTTACTTACTTCTTGACTTTACCTGTACTGTGATCATTCTATATATACCTGCATGTTTGCCTTGTTAGGTTGTGATCATTGTACCTCTTGCTCTATTATAAAACTGCATGTGAACTGGTCTTGTGACCGCTTGCTTGTGCTCGGAATTTGTGTGGAATCCTCGAGATCCACCCTGAGCTTGTTTGCCTTGTTTTGCCTTGACTGGTCTTGTGACCCCTAGGTCTCCCCCATTTTGCCTATGGGGGTGTGTCAAACATTTATATGTTTGTGTGGTTCTAGGCTGTAGTGGGTCACACCATAAGGGGTACACCAGATTAGGGTTTGACATATTTGTACTGTTGTTCCTGCTAGTCACTCCTCATTCTCGTTTCTCATTCTGACAGGTCGAACCATCGGACTGCGCCAAGACAGCATTTAGGACTAGGTACGGGTCATTCGAGTACACGGTGATGCCTTTCGGGCTGACCAACGCGCCCGCAACATTTCAGATGACCATGAACGAGGCGTTTAGGCCACTTTTAGATAAATGCATGATAGTTTACCTCGACGATGCACATGCCCTAAGTGTAAACATCCTCGTTTACAGTCGCGACCAGCAGCAACACTTAGTCGATCTCGAAGCAGTGTTTAAAATTTTAGAGGAACATAGGTTACTCACCAAGGGCTCCAAGTGCGAGTTTTTTTGGGATAGGCTAGAATTTTTAGGGCACGTTATTTCGGAGGCTGGAGTTGAAATCGACCCCAAGAAGCTGGATACCGTAAATGCGTGGCATTCCCCGACGAACATCACGGAGCTGCAGAGTTTTTTAGGGTTCGTTAATTACGTTCGTCGGTTCGTCCCCGACATGGCACGATTAACAGCCCCGCTAACAGATTTACTATGCAAGGGGGTCGCTTTTACGTGGGGGGAGAAAGAGCATGCTGCCTTCTCTGCCTTGAAACATGTTCTCTGTTCACCACCCGTCCTACGCATCGCTGACCCACATCGCCCCTTCGAAGTTGTTACAGACGCAAGCGACATCGCCATTGGAGCCGTACTGTTACAAGACTTCGGCAACGGCCTCCAGCCCATCGCCTACGAATCACGAAAACTGCATCCGCCTGAACGAAATTACCCGATACACGACCGCAAAATGCTCGCGATCGTGCATGCATTCAAGGTGTGGCGCTGCTACTTCACCGGCGCAGACGTAACAGTATGGACAGACCATCGATCCCTACAGTACCTCCGTGCACAGCCCCACCTCAACCCACGACAGATTCGGTGGCTCGATTTCCTCGAGTCAAATTTCCATTATACGGTGACCTATAAAAAAGGAGCCTCGAATATCGCCGACGCACTGACCCGCCCCACTGCCCAGATCCATGCGATACTACTCGCCCAGACCAGCCCGCTACTGACAGGACTATTTACCGACGGATATCAAACAGATCCATTCTTCACAGGAGGAAACTCGCAGTAATTCGCAGCAGCCAAGGGAGTCTATTACGTAAAAGCTGGGACCGAACGCATCTGGGTACCAGGGTACACACTACTACGGGAATTACTGTTACAGGGGGCACACGACGGAGTTACCTCGGGACATTTCGGAGTAGAGAAAACACGGCAGCAGCTGCAGCGGTATTATTACTGGCCCGAAATGTTGACCGACGTGCAACGACACGTGGCATCGTGTCCCACTTGCCAGATCATGAAGTCAAGCCGGAAGCGGCCGGCGGGACAGTTGCACCCAATCCCACCTCCAGAGTGTGCTTGGCAACAAGTGACGATGGACTTCGTCACGGGGTTACTGGCCGGGGCGGGTGGGAATGACGCAATCCTGGTCGTCGTCGATCGACTGACGAAAATGGCACACTTCGCAGCCTGCAAGAAAGCAATCACAGCCGAAGAAACAGCCCGCCTCTTCATCTCTACCGTCGTTCGACTGCACAGGATACCAGCATCAATCATGAGCGACAGAGACACGAAGTTTACTAGCAACTTCTGGCAGAACCTGTGGCAGCAGTTCGGCACGCGCCTACAGTTCAGTTCATCTTATCACCCCGAAACCGACGGACAGACCGAACGGACAAACCAGACCATGGAACAGCTCATTAGGGCCACGTGTGATGATCCAAACACGTGGGAACAGCAAATGCCACTCATCGAATTCGCATACAACAACGCCCCATCCGCCACGACCCAACAGTCACCATTTTACCTGAATTACGGACAAGACCCAACAGTACCCATGACCCCAAATCCTGACAACCCCGTTCCACGCGCACAACAGTTCGCTGAGATTTTGCAAGCAGCATGAACCAGGGCAGCAGAAGCAATAAAAAAAATCAAACATCATCGCTAAACGCAACGCTGACCGCCACCGCAGACCTGTCACTTACCAGCCCGACGACCTCGTTTTACTCGACACTCAAAACCTCCGCCTGCCCATCACCCCCAAACTCCGCCCTCGATACTGCGGGCCATTTCGAATTAGCCATATGATAAGACCTGTCACCGCGCACCTCCTCCTCCCTGCTGACTGGTATGTCAGCCCCTCGTTCCACGTCAGCCTGCTTCGCCCTTACGTACCATCCATAAGCCAACTCCCACGAAATCGCCCAGCCAGCATGGCTCGTCCGCCAACCGAACCAATCATCACCCCCGACAAAATCCTGAGCCACAGAGTTCGCGACCCTCGAGGAGCCCGAAAGATCGAATTCCTGCTCCGCTGGAAAGACCGTACACCCACCGAGGACAACTGGGTTCCCCTGGACAGAATTGAAAACCACCCTGCTCTCACCGAGTATCTGCGCAGCCGAAACTTCAGGAACGTCCACGCTCTTTCGTAAAAAGGACCTCCTTAGGAGGGGGGGTAGTGTAAGGAAAATCCCTTTTCCTTACTTCGCATCCCTGCTCAACGCGTACATCACTGTAGCACCTCAGTCAGCACCGTTACCACTCGCGATCCTCGCATCGACAATCATCCCGCCATCTTCGCACATCGCACCCCGACCTCACGGCTCGGCTGGTAACCCGCGCTCCGGGCCTCCGCTTCGACACTTTCCCAACCTCAGTCCCAGGCTCGTCGCACGACAACTACAGTCCATTACCGTCACCACTGTAGTTTCGCTATATATTCTTCGCTCATTGTATTCTTGCTTCGATAGTGCAATTCTCGTTCGTTCACTCAATTGCACTCGTAACAGTACGGCACGTCCGAACTACACTCCCAAACGTACGGACGGGGCAGAGTCCGTACGTTTGGTAGGCTCCGAACGTACTTTAAAGTAAACTGAAAAAGTTACACGCCCTAAAAGTGTTTGTTCCTGCATACCGAAATCATCAGCCACATCCATCCATTCTGGTGCTGACGCGCTATCCCGTCGTCCGAACCTTGCCCAACTATGCGGCTTCTGCGCTCCACCACCGTCCACCCACACTCCCGCACCACCAACTGGGCGAAATTTCGCCTCATCAATCACATCACTCTCAACTCCCAAGCCACGTGCGCGCACCCCCCCCCCCCCCTTAACTTCTCCCTTCCCCCTTACCCTTCCCCGCGCCTAACAAGAATACTGTACCATGCTTGATTTGCGTCTTTCCCCCCCCGCTCCCCACCCCCCCAACAACGTCAACTTGATCCCATTGTGTGCCACGCGCGCCAATCCGCGCCGCAACCGGAGCTCGTGGCGCGGCGCTTCATCAACTGCTTCAGGGCACGCTCCTCCTACTTGACGTCTCTTAGCGCCTTTTCTAGCTGCTGAAGTTGCGCTGCCGCGCACCGCAATAGCTGCTCTTGACTGCTCAATACACCACATCGTCCCGACCTTCCCGCTTTATTTCCCCCTCATTCACAGTCTCTCACTAGCTGTCTCACTCATTCACCCCTCTCTCTTCGATCGCGTGCACGGGCGGTAGCCTTGTCCATCATCCGCCGACACGTACGCATGGAGTCTGATGCTCTCGCCCATTCGTCGCACATCGCTCAACCCGGCGACCCGTCACTAGAATCGCACAGATTGCAGCACGTCGCACACAGCCATCCTCACACCCATTCGCAGTCCAACGCGCCCGACCACACACATGGCGGCCTCGTACATTCTTCGCTCCCGTCACTGCCGCACCGCCTGCACGCCCCGCACCCGTCGCACGAGGACTCTTCCCCTCCGCTCCCCCTGAAGGCGGGTCGCCTGTCGTCGCTGGGCCACGCCGCGTGCAGCTCGAGCTGCCTCGCCGACATGCGCGCCGCCTCTCCCCCGCGCGCCCGCGCGCACGGCTCTTCCTCCGACGACGCGCTGCTGCGGCATTCCGCGGGGGCAGAGGAGGCGGACGGCGCGGAGGCGGGGGTGCTGCGCGAAGGGGAGGAGGGCGCGGATGGCGCGGAGGGGGTGGTGGCGGTGGGGGATGGCGTGGTGGTGGACGTGGAGAGAGTGCGGCAGGCGCAGTACGACGCGTGGCTGGTAACGCGCAGAGGGCGGGGTCGGGGGAAGAGGGACCGGTTGAAGCGGGAGGGAGGGACTGAGGGGAGAGGGATAAATGGGATTGGGAGGGGGGGTACTTACCTTCCAATGCTGTTACGCCAGCTGCTGCGTTTCGCGCTCACATACTCTCCTCTCCTCACAATGCTTTCGCCCCCCTCCTCACTCTCTCTTCCCTCCCCTCCCGGTTTCCAAACCCTCCCATCCCGTCCACCAATTGCCCTCCTCGCCGTGCGTCCTTCGTCACGTCGCCCTCACTGTACGCTGTACGCATACACCTATCCCCCATTCACCCGCCCTCTTCCGCCCCCCTCTCCGCCACATAACCCCGCCTCCCCCCACACACCCCCCACTTCCCACCTCCTGCGCACCTTCCCGCGCCGCCCACAGGAGGAGCACCCATCGGCGGTGGCGCAGTTCTGGGCGGTGGCGCGCGAGATGGGCGCGCGGCAGGTGGCGCTGTTCCTCGACTACGACGGCACGCTCGCGCCCATCGTTGACAACCCCGACCGCGCCTTCATGCCGCCCGGGGTCAGCCGTGGGGGGAGGGGCGAGCAGGGGGAGGCAGAGGGGATGCGGCGGGGAGTCTGTGGGAGTTTAGGGGCAGGGATGTGTGAGGGGAGGGGGAGGGAGTGAGATTGTGTTGTTCAGAGGGATGTGAAGGAAATGAGTTGGAGTGTGAGTCCACTCGCTCTTGCGTGCCGTGGTGGGCGGGTGGGGAGCGTGAGGAGGGGGACGAGGATACACATGCAGTAGAGGGGTTGTGCGGTGCGACGGGGGGCGGGGGGGGTGTGGGGGGGTAAGTTTAACAGGGGGGTTCCAGACCAATGCTGTGAGAGTGAGGGTACGTTTCTATCTCGTGTCAGACATCAAGTCATGCGGCCTTAGTCTCCAATTTGTCTCTTCCGAACTTCCAATCGCCCCAAAAACGAGCCGCTTCGGGTCTTCCGAACCTCCACTTTGTGTCAAACCTAATGTCTGACACGGGATAGAAACGTGCCCTGAGTCCCATGCACACCTCTATACGGTATACCTGCACCTGTTCACGCGCATGCATGCACTGATGGGGTGCGCAAGGCTCAAATTCTCCCTGCTTTTCCTCCGCCTCGCTCACCCCCCTCTGCTCGTCCCTGCTTCTCTCGCTCCCACCTCTTTCCCCTCCCCAACTCCCCCGCTCCCCCTTTCGCTTCCTCCCCTTGCTGCCCACCCCGCATGGCGCGGCATGGGTGCAGATGAGAGCAGCGGTGCAGCAGGCAGCGCTGCACTTCCCCACGGCCATCATCAGTGGGCGCGGCAGGGAGAAGGTGTTTGAGTTCGTTCAGCTGCCCGAGCTGTACTACGCGGGCAGCCACGGCATGGACATCATGCTGCCCGCACACACGCCCTCCGCCGCCGCCCCTGCCTCTGCGTCTGCGCCCGATGCGCCTGGTGATGGGCGGCAGGGAAATGGCGCACTGGGCGTGACTATTAAGGGCGACAGGTGCACAGATGCGCATGTGAGCTGACTGCCGTGGTGGGATGGGGGACGAGGACGGGGCTTGGGAATGGGCCAAGGGTGAGGCCCGGATGGGATGTGGGATGGTGATTGGGATGGTGAGTGAGTGGTGTGGGTGGGTTGTCCCGGTGGGTGGAGGGTTAAGGGAAAGGGCGGATGTGTAGTTAGTGAGCAAGAGCATTGGAGCATGCCCGGGGCATCCTTCAAGGTAGCAGCCTCCAAACAATTCCCCTCACCCACACCTCGTGGGAATCCATCGCTTCCTGAGTTGCTCCCATGAACTCTCTGCTCCCCTCCTCTCTCTGCTCTGCGCCCATCCTCTGTCTGGCGCCTCTCTTTCGCCTCTGCCCATCCCCACGCCACCCGCCACCAGAACCACGAGGTGGTGGTGTTCCAGCCTGCCAGCGAGTTCGCAGAGCTCATGGATCAGGTGCGCCGCCTCTTCCACTCCATCCGCTGCTGCCTTAGCCCTCTGCTCCCCCCTGCTCCCACCTCTTCCTGTTTCTGCTCCAGCCCACAGCCGACAGCCCACAACCCACAGCCGACAGCCCACCACCCACAGCCTGCAGTCCCCATTGGTTGGTCGATTGCTTACTGTTCCTTGCTTCTCTGCGTTGTACTCAACCCTGCATCTTACTCTCGGCACGGCACGCGTGTGCGTGGTGGTGGTGGTGGTGATGCTGGTGGGGCGCATGGCAGGTGTACACAGAACTGGTGCGCGTGACAGCAGGCGTGGCGGGGTCACTAGTGGAGAACAACAAGTTTGCCGTCACCGTGCACTTCAGACGCGTGGCGGAGGAGGTGCGTGCTGCACCACTGCACCCTGCACCCAGGGGCCCATGCGCGACATCGCATGGAGGGGAAGATGGACAGAAAGGGGTGGCAAAGGGAGGGAGGGGGGAAGGGGGGTTTGGATCTGGGCGTATGGAGGGAGAACGATTGGGAGAAGGACGGAGTGAGGAATGGCAGTATTGTGAGGGAGAGTTGGAAAGAGAGACTTAGGACAAGCAAGAGTGGTAAGAATGGGGGTGTCGGGGAATGTGCTTTGTGATGACAGTGCGGGCAGCTGAATCAGGGAGACCTCGAAACAAATTATAGTAAACTTCACCGTGGACTCTCGCTTCTTCCCCGCTCCTCACAGTGCTGGGAGCATCTGGCGGGGCTGGTGGAGCAGGTAGTGCAGCAGCACCCGCGCCTGCGTCTCTCACACGGCAGAAAGGTGACAAGCGGAAGGCCACACAAGCGATCGCGTGAAAACGCGGCAATTCCGTCCTTGATTTACTTGGACTTGCGTGCACTTGTCGCTTGTGACAGCCATCGCTGATGCCTCCGTTGTCCGGGTCTCATGTGCTTAATTCTCCATGCTCGTGTGACGTGTCTATGCCCATGGCCACGTGTGCTTGTTCGACGCACATGGCAGGTGTTTGAGGTGCGCCCTGTGGTGGACTGGGACAAGGGCAAGGCCGTGCAGTACCTTCTCACCACACTTGGTGCGATGCCACTCCCATGCCATGCCATGTTTGCCCTGATGCCATGCCATGTTTGCCCTGATGCCATGCCGACACTACTGTGTGAACATTATGCATCAATACGGTATCCCCTATCCTGTCTACATCATGCTAGTAAGTCTATGCACATGTGCTGCAGTCACGTGCATATGCTGTTGTGCGCATACCGCGCAAAATGAATCATCCGCATCTGCGTACCCACTCTCTCTCTCTCTTTTACACAATCCTCTTCCGCCCCTCCCTCCATTCCGGGTGGTATCGACTAGGCCTCAACAACTCATCTGCAGTCGTGCCAGTGTACATTGGGGACGACCGGACAGATGAGGATGCATTTCAGGTAGAGCTGGGGGGAAGGGAGGGAACATACACTGGTTCCATGGGGCGTGCCCATTGATGGAAAGGTTCCAATACTTCTGCAGAGCATGTTCTGCTGCTCTCACCGGCTGCATGGGTTCCTTCACCCCATTAACCTACCTCATTTTCGTTTCCTTATCAACTGATGCCATGGTTTGCTAAGAGCAGATGCTCCAGGCGAGGGGTTCAGGCATAGGCATCATCGTATCAGCTGCTGTGAAATCGTCTGTGGCTTCTTATTCTTTGCGAGACCCGTCCGAGGTACTGTTCTGCTTTTGTCTCCAACTATCCTCCTCTGCCATTCTTTTACCGACTGTCTTTGTTTGATTTTCTGCTAGTTGCACTTCCAATCGCGTTTGCCTTTCATAGTACAGCGTTGGATCTTGACTATCATGCTGTATGGATGGATATAGCTTGCAAATTCGTTTAACCATCAATCGGTCTGTTTCAGGTTCTGGATTTCCTCGTTAAATTAGTCCGTTGGAAGGAGCATGGGGATTCTCTTAGATAATATAGACAGGAGAGTAAAACTCTAGGTTTTTTTGCACAATGAACTTCTCATTGTTTTGTTCCTTCCTTTTTTTGCTCTGTTGAGGATAGTGCATTGCATGTACCGTATCCATGGTCACTCTGTTACGTACTGTTCTCCAGTACAAAGGCTCGCTGCTGTTGGTATACACTTGGGGATGTACGCAATCGGGCAATAAGAGGAACTACGCCTCGCCGCTTCCAGCAAAGGGCAACCAGAAATCTACCCCAGCTGTAGTGTTGGCTGCCAGCAACTCAGATATCATCATTTCTTGAACTGCGTGGCATATGCTGAAGGGGCAACAGCAGGTGTCCTAATCAGATTCCGAAGAACCGGTGTCCAGCTCGGATCCAGTCTGCCGACAACCAGCGTGGAAGCTTCACAGATTGGATGGACTTGTCGGTGCTGCGAGGATTTCTCAGTCTGTACACCGCTTGCCCTTCTCAAGGGTCGCGTGACGGGTGCTTGGCTTTTCCCAAGGTCCGACCTCCCGCCAAGCTCAGGGGTCATCATGTCAAGTGAGAATTGAATGTGGTGCGATGCGAACACCATGCTGCTGCCGCGGGTGTGTACATACTAAACACAAGGCAATCCCTTGATACGCCAACATTCTGGAGTTGCATATCAGGTCAGGTCCCTGAATTGCTCTGCTTTCTCCCTTCTGCGGTGGCAGAGCCTCAGTAATTTCCGTCAGCCTAGTAACCTTGCAACACGGTGCTTCGAATTCCCGAAGCAGTCGCGTGATATTGTATTGCTGCGGAAACTGCTTAGCAATGGCCGTCTCTCGCCGAGCTTTTCAGGTACGTCGTGTAACACTCGCTTCCGCAGAACGTGGACTCAACGGTGCTATTCGGAAAGCGGTATCTGAACGTCGTTTTTCCTGAGCAGAAGTTCTTCCTCAATGGCGCCTTACGCCCACTTGTATCCCTCTCAAGCGCGTCTTCGACCATCAATCCTCTCGATGTGCCGATTGCACCTAAACAATCACCCACCGTACCGCACTATATGAACAATTCGACACACTCCAACTTTGGAACGCGAGGAATGGTCACTCCTGGAGTCGTGAGCAAGCTTAGTGGCGTCAAGGTGCCTATCTCCACAGCACCTGTTCATACCGCGACGGAACCCAAGCACGACATGTTTTGCTATCAATGCGAACAGACACGGGTGGGTTTTCTGGGACCAAACAAGGCAACCTTTCTGTATAAAATTGCGTTCTTTGTTGATATCGTTAGTTAACTCGTGCAATTTACGAGCTTTCAGGACGGTAAGGGATGCATGACTGTGGGTGTCTGCGGCAAGGATCCTGAGGCCGCTGCGCTTCAAGACCTCCTTATTCACTCTCTGAAGGGTAAGAAGTTTCGCTGTCTACCCTTGGATCGCGTCTGTCAGAAATCTAATGTATGTTTTATCCTTCGCAGGATTGGCTCAGTATGCTACTCGTGCGCGTGAGTTGGGTCTTGAGGTCGGTGCCGAGGTGGATTTGTAAGTTGAATTTGTCGTAACGCTATTGAGTCTGTCCCCGTTAGAGACACGATTCTAATGGTTTAGCTTTGCAATTGCAGTTTTGTGCAGGAAGCGGTTTTCTCAACGCTCACAAATGTGAACTTTGACTCAGCCGCACTTCAGCAATTCGTCACGGAGGCAATTCGTCACCGCGATGCTCTCAGGTAATGTGGTTGACAATGCACCATGTCTGGGATGCGAGAACCTCTTTGAAGTAACGTCAAATCCCTGTAATGTTAATGCAGGGCGAAGTATTTGGGTGCTGGTGGGAAAGAGGACTCTGCCTTGAAAACTCATCAAGCCACTTTTGAGCTCGGTGGATCGCTTGATGACATTGTGGAACAGGGACGCGGAGTAGGCGTTGAGACACGTCGTGCGGGATGGGATGAAGATATTTTCAGCCTGCAAGAGCTGTTGGTGTATGGTTTGAAGGGAACTGCTGCGTACTCGGCTCATGCATATGCAGTGGGAAAGGTATGATAAAAAATCCGTTCCATTTCCGTGTATCCAAAATCGTTGCGTAGTCCTCACTGTTTCGTTCTCTTGAACCTGTGAGTCTACAGCGTGATACGAAGATTTCCGACTTCATCTACGAGGCGTTTGATTACATTTCACGGCCAGCTGACCAGCAGACGGCTGAAGGCCTTCTTGGCCTTGCCCTCAAGTGTGGGGAGACAAACCTTCGTGCAATGGAGATTCTTAATGAGGGCCATTGCGAGAGCTTCGGCACCCCAGAGCCTACTGTCGTGAGTGAAATTATGCTCTCTTGTATCTGTAAGCTGCTCATGCATTGCACGCTAACGTCTAGAAATCCCCTTTCAGGTCCGGACGTCTCCTGTCAAGGGAAAATGCATCTTAGTATCAGGTCATGACATCAAGGACCTTTACGAACTGCTTAAGGCAACAGAAGGAAAGGGCATCAACGTGTACACGCACGGGGAGCTGCTGCCTGCCCATGGCTATCCCGAACTGAGGAAGTTTAAGCACCTTATTGGCAACTATGGTGGCGCTTGGCAGCTGCAGAAGATTGAATTCGCTGCTTTTCCTGGTCCGATCCTAGTTACCACAAATTGTCTCTTGGAGCCGAAGCCAAGCTACGCTAATCGCATTTACTCGGCAAATGCTGCTGGGTGAGGACCTTTCAAGTTTTGTTTTACTTTGCATTCAGTGCCCAAGTCAAGCATCTTCGCTAAGCGTGGTTGTCTTTCTCTTTCCAGGCACAAGAAAGTCCAGCACATTGATGGACGACGGTTCGACCCAATCATCAAACAGGCACTAGAGATGGAAGGATTCGTTGCTGAGGCCCCTGAACGCACGGTTATGACAGGTTTCGGCCATGCTGCCGTTCTGAAAGCCGCTGATGTCGTCATTGATGGTATCAATGATGGACGCATCAGCCACCTCTTCCTGATTGGTGGCTGTGATGGATGGGAAGGCGAGCGCTCTTACTTCCGTGATCTTGCACTCTCTCTGCCACAGGTAAGGATGGTTGTGTCGAGTTTGTCATAATTAGCCAGTGACGATCTGCTAACTTCTTCTCATGATTCATTCAGGATGCTGTGGTTCTGACTCTAGCCTGTGGAAAGTACCGCTTCAACCATCAGCAGCAGCAGTTTGGCAACATCACTGGTACCCAAATTCCTAGGCTAATGGATGTTGGCCAGTGCAATGATGCGTACTCGGCCATCCGCATTGCTTCTGCATTGGCCCAGGCATTCAACACTGATGTCAACAGTCTTCCCCTCTCCTTGGTCATTTCCTGGTTCGAGCAGAAGGCTGTAGCTGTGAGTTTGAATAGCATAAGCATCTGCTCAGACGGGCAAACATCCTTTTCCTGACAATTTGCATGGCGTCTGTGCTTGCAGGTACTGCTTACCCTTCTTCATCTGAACATTCAAAACATCCGCATTGGCCCCAAGCTTCCCGCATTTGTAACACCAAATGTGCTTCAGATTCTTGTTGACAAGTACAAGCTCACGCCTATTGGAGGGCCAGAGAGCGTGCAGCAGGAGATGAAGGAAATGCTCTCATAGGCTCATGATGTTTTGATGTGGCTGTTATTCTCATATTCATGGAACATTAATGGACAAAAATTCCAAGCAGAACTACTTCTGGGATGTTTGTGCAATCAATGGCTTCTATGGCTTATATTCATGTAGACCTTCAGCAGAAGTCTGTTTGTGTGTTCCATGCCTAAACCAGTTTTCTGCTCATTTCCAGTAGTGTAGATTATGATCAATTCTAGGATGTGTGGTCATGCTACACATTGCAGATGTTCTGTGCTGGGAAAGTCAGGGCGGGTTATTCTCATTTCATTCTCGCTTGATACCCATCCCGACCAATTTGATTAATGATGAAACCGTTGCACAATGTAGAACATCTCATTTAGCTGCATCTGAACGATTAAAAAAATGGCCCGCCCTTATTTAGTATATTTTGTTGATCTTGTATGGGTGTGGAGAGCTAGAAAGCTGGCCTTTCGGATTGTGGTGGTCTGGCACAAGTAATTATGTGGGATAAAATTTTATGTGCAACAAGGAAAAGGGTAATTACATTCTGGGTAGCCAGCATCGAGCCCGCTGACGTCAAAAGTCACCTACGTGGCTCGATGGTACCCGTCAGATCATGCGCGCCCCTTGGTGGTACCCATCTTCCCTCCGTGGTACCCATCTTCCCTGCGTAGTACCCATCAACTGTGCGCGAATTCCCAGACTGGTACCGCAACATTTCAACCGAGCTGTACACCGTACAACAAGGGTTTCAATGCGTTTTTCACTATATTGTCTTAGCGTGTCTGGCAATGTCTGGCTGGTCCCCACCCCGAGCCGGCCCACCCAGATAGGCAAAGTGAACCCGCAGTTGTTTTTCGGGGCTTAGTTGTGGTGGTCTGGCACAGGTAATTATGTGGGATGAAGTTTTATGCGCATGAGAATGGGATGGCATGATGGCAATGTCAGTCAGGCTGGCCGCCACCCTGAGCCGGCCAGCCCACATTGGCAAAGCGAACCCGCAGTTGTTTTTCGGGGCCTACACCCTGTTTCGCGCTAGCAGAGCATCTGGTTGCATAACATGCGCTGGTTGTAGAACGTCACCACGTTTGAAATGGTCTTATCACCGACGGTACAAGCACATTCACAGGAAAGCGGTTAGCTAGGATGCTGCATGGTAAAGAACATTAACCAAGCGTTTCAAAGCGGTTGAAAGGGTATACAGCGATAAAGAAAAATTTTGCCCCCAGTACCACTCCGTCAGCTGGTGCGGCTTTGCCCGCAGGTTTCAGCCATACGGTTTATGGCACCTGACCGCACTGTAGCAGCGAATCGCGCAAGGTGAGAGGGTCGAGAAACAGGGTGTACATTCGCGAAACTGTTTGCAAGTGTACTTTTTTCGTGGGTACTGTTCGGGTCGGATCTGTGGAGGAAAGGTGTGCAGCGGTGGAGAGGTCTGTCCGCCTGTCCCTCAAATCGGCCAAAAGTGGAACCATCGCTTTAGCCTTTCAGCATCATAAGAGGCATTGGCTCAACCCACCATTGAGCAGATCTCACGTGCGAGATGCATGCGCTGTCCGCCAGCAGCGTAGATCTGGGGCGGGACACAGGCCAGCACGTCTCCGTGTCATCCACCACGTCATGACTTTCGAGCAGTAATTTTGGGGTTTGGGGGGAAGTTGGAAGTCGGAAGGAAGTTGGGTGCGTGGGGGCACACGCGCGGGGAAACCAACAAGTGTGGGAACCAACTTTGACGAAAATATCTTACGTAGATGCACACGCAGTTGGTAGAAAATTCAGGTCGTGTCCGTAGGGATGACATGTCAAAGTGGGAGTCACAATTCGGCATTTTGACACTTTAGCTAACAATTTTGGCAGAGTGTCAAGATCTTGTATGTTGGCAGCCAATAAAAATCGTCGGACCTTTTTTTATTTTTGCACAATCATACCTACAAACGAGATAAAATTGTCGCAGCTGCCTATCTCACGACCAGATTCTGCCCAATCAGCAAACACCGCATCCTTTTTCTGTCGTTTGAATTGTTCGCAGCCTAGGAGATAAACAAATGACAAATTTCTCTAACCAATGAAGTTCCGTCGCTGATGTTCGTACATGCGCTTCGACTTGATACTTCAGCTACAGTATTAGACACTCCAATTTGAGCGCGCTTCGGTTTGACGCGCCCATTGTTGACATGTCATACCTTCGGATACGAAATCATCATGTCTGGAGTGGTCGCGTCCCCGGTGTCGGTCCAGTGAGCTGGACGTTGTAAAGTGTTCACCCGCAGGTCGTCGCTTGGCTCAAGCAAGGGACAACATCACCGCCTTCCCTTGACCCCTGACAGACTTTTGGGACCAGTCGACATTCTCCAGCGCAGCACTTGAGGGATGGATCTGTCTGTCATTTGTACCTCTCGTTAGCGCAGTGAACCGTTCTGAAAAATATCACAACATCCAGCATAGATTCTAGAACCGAGAAGTAAAGCTCCCTAACCGCGCTATGCGCGGTTCGGGCTTATGAGATGCTTTTGACTACAAATTCTTCAACATCAACTTTTGGCACATCACCCTCTTCGAGCCTCGCTTGACACTTGCTGCTCTTCTGCGTCATTCCAAGCCCACAATTTCTGCTATACACTCCAGCCGTCTCTTGCAGCACAAGAATATGGCATGTGCACATCGCCTCGGTCAGGTACGTCGTTCGTTATCTTGTTGAACGCAACCTTGTTCCCCTCCATTCTTGATCGCAGTTCTTCAACCTGTGCAAAAAGGCTGACCAACAAAGTGTCTACTCCTAACAGGTAGCATGCAAGGCTAGCGACTTCTTCCCAAGGAATCTGGTGTCGCCGTCTTCTAGCGCTAAAAGCGCGGTTTTAAATGGACGAAGACGTGTTCGCCGCGTGGTAGCTCAAGCAAGCAACAGCGGCTCGAAGCCCCGGAGCGGAGTTAAGGCTAATGTAGCTATGCCAGCGATGGAGACTCGCACGTCACCCGACCAGCACGACATGTTCTGCTTCCAATGCGAGCAAACCAAGGTATGGTATTGCCTGTCGCAAAGTGTAAATAAATGACAACAGCAACATGAATTTTGTCCTATTAATGACGAAATTGACGAAAGGGGATGTGCTCATCACTTCAAACGACGGTGCTATGTTCTGGATCTGTCACAGGATGGCAAGGGTTGCAAGTCCGTCGGTGTGTGCGGCAAGGACCCTGAAACAGCAGCCCTGCAAGACCTTCTCATTCATGCATTGAAAGGTGAGAACCCGATGGATAAGGAACAGCTTGAAAGGCATCAGAAAATGTATAGGTCACAACGTGAGTTTCTTGTTGTAGTCATCGTTCAGTGTGGCGGAGGTGCCTGACTTTGCTTCCTTGTGGCGTACGCTGTCTCGTGCTCAGGAGTGGCGCGTTTCGCCGTGCGGATTCGCGCGTTGGGGAAACCGGTTGGCGCCGACACTGACTTGTAAGTCTCATCGCACTACTTCAGTCATACGTCACGGTGCCGCTGGTGCGCGTTCGCTTTTTCCTCCCCTAGCCATATTTACAGTCAGCTGTCATGCCGACATTAACGACCGTATAATCTCTTGTTTCGCCGTCACTCCCTTACCTGCAGCTTCGTGCAGGACGCCATCTTCGCGACGCTCACCAACGTCAATTTCGACGCGGAGGCCATTCAGAAATACACCATGGAGGCCGTCCGCGTCCGCGACGACCTCAGGTATTATCAATGCCGCATGTCCTCCGCCCACCCGCGGCCTTGTAAAGTTTTCCCTCCAGGCCTCCCTTGCATGGCGCGGATCCTCCCACGCTGGTTTCAATGTTTATGCCATCGCGATCCTTCAACCGATCTCCCTGGCCTATGCTCCTCCGTTTCGGGCCAATTGAACCCAAAGCTCCCACTCGTCTTCCCCGTGTGTTTTCCGTCCGCTCCACATACAGGACCAAGCTTGCCCAGGCAGGCGGCGACCTGTCGGACCCCGCGCTGGCGTCGCACGAAGCGACGTTCCAGCCCGCACTGGCGCTGCCGGACCTGGTGGAGCAGGGCCATGCGGTGGGCGTGGAGGCGAGGGCAGCGGGGTGGGACAAGGACATCTTCAGCCTGCAGGAGTTGCTCACGTACGGCGTCAAGGGCACGGCGGCTTACTCCGCGCACGCCTTCGCCGTCGGACAGGTGCGGTGTCATCCTCTGAGCCCCTGAAGTCTGCGTGACTACCTGTCGAAGTACGGTAGCATGATTCACCTTCTCAAGTTCTTCGTCTTTCCTTATCTTCCACTTTCACGCAAGACGGTCTCATCGCTCCGCACTAATCCGTCCTATTTTCGTCGTTGTTGACCGCGCTCTCGTTTCCCCCCGCAGCACGACCCGCTGATCGCGGACTTCATCTACGAGGCCTTCGACTACATCTCGCGGCCCGCGAACGAGCAGACGGCGGACGCGCTGCTGGCGATGTGCTTGAAGTGCGGCGAGGTGAACCTGCGCGCCATGGAGATCCTCAACACCGGCCACAAGGGCAGCTTCGGCACGCCCGAGCCGTCGGTGGTGCGCACGTCGGCCGTGGCGGGCAAGTGCATCCTGGTGTCGGGTCACGACATCAAGGACTTGTACGAGCTGCTCAAGGCGACAGAGGGCACGGGGGTCAACGTGTACACGCACGGCGAGCTGCTGCCCGCGCACGGGTACCCCGAGCTGAAGCGGTTCAAGCACCTGATTGGCAACTACGGTGGCGCGTGGCAGCTGCAGAAGCTGGAGTTTGCCATGTTCCCCGGACCCATCGTGGTGACCACCAACTGCCTGCTGGAGCCTAAACCCAGCTATGCCGACCGCATCTACGCGCTCAATGCCGTGGGGTGAGTTGGGGCGGACCTCAACCAGTCACCGGCTCTGCTTTTGAACCGTTGCAGCAGCATCTACACTGTGCTCGCGAGCTCAGCCGGCTGGTTCACACGCAACATTTTGACATGTGGAAGCGTTCTCAATCGGTCTCTGCACATTCGTCCCCATCTGCCCCCGCCCCCAGGCACAAGAAGGTACAGCACGT